GACAGTAATGTTTGATGGGGGCCACTCCAAAAATTTAAGTGGTCAGGGGCCATACTGTTCCATGACATTAATGGAAGAGGAGGTGCAAAGTCTGGGATAGTGGTTGGGTGCAGAAGGGAGCTTAGGGCAAAGGATTAAGGTGCAGGAGGGGTGTAGGATCTAGGAGGAAGTTTGGGTGAAGGAGAGGGTTGTGACCTGGGTGCAGGATCTGGAAGAGGATATGGGAGTGAAAGAGAGGATTCTGACCTGGAGGAGGAGTGTAGGAGAGGGAGCAGGCTCTGGGAGGGGCATGTGACCTGTGGCAAGGGTGCAGGAGAAGTACAGTGGTTTGGATTGTGACCTGGGTCAAGAGATTAGGATGCAGGGTCTGGGAGGGGTATGGGTGCAGGAGCGGATTCTGACCTGGAGAAGGGGTACAGGGCTTGGGAGAGGGTAGTTTCCTAGGGCAGGAGTACAGGAAGGGAGGGGGCAGGGGCTGCTCCATTCAGACTGGAGTAGTTAACCTTTTAATCGGTTACATCATGTTTAACTGTTTAATCAATTAAATGGGATTTTACATCTCTAGTGCCTTCCATATTCCTGCACACCGCTTCAGAGCAGCTGTGGGGGCCATGTGCCTTTCTGGAGCCTTGAGGGGGAGGGTTACTTTGTACACTGCCCATCTTGCAAACAGGCAGTTCCCATTGACTAATGGGAGCTGTGAGATTGTGCTTGGGACTGGGGCAGTGTGCAAAGCTTTTCCCGCTACCCCCAAGCTCGCAGTTTTCAAAAACCAACACATGGCCCCTTGTGGGGGCGGAACAGGCATGGAGCTTGGCTGAGGCTCCTGCTGCCCCTGTGGACTGGGTTCTGACCATGGGCCATATTTTGCTCATCAAGTGGATTGCAACACTGAAGGTGTCAAGAAAGGAATTGGATTGTGGGGGAGGGGATGGAGGAGGAGCATGTCAGTCTTAAGCAAAGAAAATTTTGCTCCCCTATTTGCACACCCTTATCCTTCAAATCAAGTAATCCCGACCAGGCTCTCAATATATACACAAAAGTAGATAGATTTATTATTGATGATACATTTACTATAAAATCAGGGGAAAAAATGTGAGGTTGCAAAACTCGACTTCAAATAAGTGGTCACCAACCTGAAAAGGTTGCAAAATGCTGTCCTAAGCAAACTGAGTAGATTTTGTCATTTGAGTCAAACAGCCCTGAGAAATATATAAAAGAATTGCAGGATCTTACCCTAGATTTTCAGCAACTTTTTACAGATCTGGATAGGAATCAATATCCTGTATTAAAATGTATGCACAATTGTATTCTTGGCAGTCTCTCTCTTAAAATCACACTTATTACAAAAATAATTGTTTCCTCTTTTCAAACTAAGAAGTTAAATGAATTGAGCACTAGCTTATTTTATGATGTTGTAATAGCTTGACTTTTTAGAATTGAAATGAACTCAAAATAGCAATTAAAGAATGTCTGAAGATTTCAAAATATATTGATAGCAACATCTTACTTGCACTGTTCTCTACATTTTTAAAGTAATAAAAAAGCCAGTTTTATGGAAAGATTCTGGATTAACTCCAGCCTGAAGTTATCTATAGATCCACAGTTCGGTGTTTTAGTTAAAAATAGGATATTGGGCTCAATGCTGGCGTAGATGAGTGGAAATTTAGTGGTGTCTGATGTACAGAAAGACAGATTAGATGAACCAATAATGTCCCTTCAAGACTTAAAATCTATGAATCTCCCTACATTATGTCTTAACACTGATTTTGAAGGCTCCCACTTTGCCAAGATGGGGAACATAGCTAGTCTTTCTTGCAGTTTCAATAGGACTTCACAGTTGTGGTTAGTGACCCTACTGTTTTTGTTTCATTTTTGTGATGTTTATTAAAAGTAAGTTAAGTAGTCTAGTGCTTAAACAGAAAAAGTTAAATTTTAAACAGTAGCTGTATTCACAAATATTGTTATAGAAATGTTTAAAGGTAAATAAATGTTAAGGCTAAAAACTCTGAACCTGGTTACCATGAGTGTTTATAGGTAAAATGTGTAGATCTATTTTTGGCTGAAAACTTAAATTTATTTAATTCTGTTTTTTAGGAGTATTTGTATCCAGTGTTGTTCTGGTGTTGCAACAGCGAGCACTTTTCAAGTTTTATATGATCAGTTCGGCATTTCTGCTAGCTGCAACCTCAGTGTTGGTGAATTATTATGCTTCTTTGCACATAAACTTCTACAGTGCCTACTACACAGCAGCTTTTGGAATTCAGTTCCTCCCTCGTAAAGGACCTTCACTATGGATGGCACTTTCTATCCTTCAGCTTACCTTTGGAATTGGATATGTTACATTGTTAAATGTGCAGTCCATATATTCACAACTAATCATACTGGATATACTGATTCCTATTATAGGCTTGATTATTGAATTACCTTTAAATGTCAGACAGATTTTAGTCTTTATTTCAGGTCTAATTCTGACATTATATACCACAGTCATCTTAGTTATGAAAATTAAATGGTTCTATTATTCCACACGATACGTCTATCTCCTAGTAAGGCATATGTATCGCATTTATGGATTACAGCTATTGTTGGAAGATACGTGGAAAAGAATTCGTTTTCCAGCCGTGCTGCGTGTGTTCTGGCTAACAAGACTTACAGCACAAGCAGTTGTGTTAACTTATGTTGTCAAGATGGCAGAAACTGATACACAAGAGAAGTTCTACTTGATTTCCTGGGAAAATTGTTGGGAACTAGTTTGCAGTCTTATTATAAGTGGGTGTGATTCTACTTTAACTGTCTTAGGTATGAGTGCTGTAATTTCTTCAATAGCCCATTATCTGGGACTTGGTATTTTGGCCTTTATTGGATCAACTGATGAAGATGACAAGAGGCTTGGTTTTGTAGCACCTGTTTTATTTTTTATTTTGGCTCTGCAGACTGGCTTAAGTGGTCTAAAGCCAGAAGAGAGACTAGTTCGCCTGAGTAGAAACATGTGCCTTTTGTTAACTGCAGTCCTGCATTTTATCCATGGAATGACAGATCCTGTACTGATGTCTCTCAGTGCCTCTCATGTGTCGTCATTTCGCAGACACTTCCCTGTGCTTTTTGTTTCAGCTTGCCTTTTTATTCTTCCAGTTCTTCTCAGTTATATCCTTTGGCACCACTATGCACTAAATACGTGGCTTTTTGCAGTTACAGCATTCTGTGTGGAACTTTGCCTGAAAGTAATTGTTTCGATCACTGTTTATATATTATTCATGATTGATGGCTACTATAATGTTCTATGGGAAAAACTTGATGATTATGTCTACTATGTTCGTTCAACAGGCAATATTATTGAGTTTATATTTGGTGTAATCATGTTTGGAAATGGAGCTTATACCATGGTATTTGAATCAGGAAGTAAGATTCGGGCTTGCATGATGTGTCTACATGCTTATTTCAACATTTACTTGCAAGCAAAGAATGGGTGGAAAACTTTTATAAATCGCAGGACAGCTGTTAAGAAAATAAACTCACTTCCTGAAGTAAAAGGAAGTCGGTTACATGAAATAGATGATGTATGTGCAATCTGCTACCATGAGTTTACTACATCAGCTCGTATTACTCCATGTAATCATTACTTTCATGCACTTTGCCTTCGGAAATGGCTCTATATTCAAGATACTTGTCCAATGTGCCATCAGAAAGTATATATTGAAGAAAAGGAAAATGCAAATATTTCTAACAATGGGTTTGTTGCTGCACCTAATGAAAATCCTATAGAAGTTGCAGAAGCTGCTGCTGAAGCTGCAAATGAACTAAATGAAAATAATGACAGTACCGACAGTGATGATGATGATGACTGTGTGGCAGAACACCAGAACGAGACTCTTAATGTTGATTCTGACTCCCTGGGTGACTAAAAGCACTGAGCTATTTGTTTATTCAGCAACAGAATAAAAGTACCACTTCATCATTGTATACTTAAGCACAACAACAGTATCTCAGTGTTGTCTGTGAATAGTTGTCAGTCTGTGCTACTGTAAATATACCACTAATTATTTCTGGTCTCTTTCATGACTACTTAAAGTTATGTACATTATTGTACATGGAATAAAGTGTTTTCACATGTTTTTAAGACAAATTTGGATAAACACTTAATTGATATGGTGACACTTGTAATCCATCTGCTGTGCCAAAGACTGCATACTAATAATTCTGTAACAATGATATTTTGGTTGTGAGTTAAATGATTAAAGAAATGAGACCATCGGTTTTCCTAGAAGATAAATTAGAGATGAAAAGTTTTGAACAAGAGTTAATCTACCTCTAAATTTAAACACAATGTTAGCAGTAGGAATGTTAAAAATCATGTATTTGTGTATATGTGTAACCGCTGAAATTTTTAGTGGTTATGCATTTACATGCAGGGGAGCAGCCGACAGCCAGTATTATGGGGAGCTGGCTCTTAAAGCCATCTTTTCTCCTCCTCCCACACAGGCAACAGTGTGGGGTGCTGGTGGGAGCCTGTGGTTGGGAGAAGCTGGCTTAAACACCACCCTCACTTCCCCCTCCTGCCTCTGTATCACAGGCAATGGAAAGGAGGTGTGGGGTGCGTATAACCATAACATTCACCAATAAGCCTGAGCGTATTAGTTAATTGTGTAACTGAGTACACACTAACATCTCTAGTTAGCACAGAAGTTTTACAGCTGTAAAGTTCTGCTATCTCAAGATTTGTAGAAAACTTAATAGGACTTGTTTGTGGAATAGAAGAATAAAATTGCTGTGTTTTCTCGAAAACCTATATGATGGTAAACTTCATTTCTAAGAAGTTACCATGTACAATAGGAATTTTGGCTTTAGCAGACTTATTTTAATCTGATAAAGCCAGAGTATGACTAGCTGCTACAGCCTACTTTTAAAATTTATCCTAGAATGTTGATGTGAGGGAAGTAGAGCTACAAACACTGTACAAAAAGCAGACCAAGCTTGTTGAGGCTTTTAGATATTCAGTATTTTTCTTACAGAGACAGGTTTAATCTTGTCATATTGTGGTATCACACTAATTTTTTCTAAATGACAAGCTTAATTTGCAGGGTTTTTTTAAATAAGAATAAGAGATTTTTGTATAAAGCATGCAAAATAAAAGAAAGAAACATAACTTTACATATCTGAAAAGAAGACTTTAATAGTATTGTTGTAAAGCGTGTTGGCCAGTTCAAGTGGGTCTTCCTCTCTTACTGCTGTCATTATCTCCAAGACTTGACTAAAAAGAAAAAGGTTAATTTTACTCATCAGTTTAGTGCATGTGTACACAAATAGCTGCAAGGCAATCAAGATGGTTGGGATACTTATAGATACAAGTATACTTTAGTTTCATTTGTAAAAAGTAACTAGCTTTTACCAACTTAAAACATCAACCACTCAACTGGCAGTCTTCTAGTCTTGGATTCTTTGACAACTTGTACTTGGCCTAACTGAACAGTTAAACAACCTTATATTGTAATGAAAGTGATTCTGCTATACCAGTGAAATTTCTGCTAAACTCCCATTTTGGATAAAGTGCAGTAAGGTATCAGAAGTTCAAAGGGAGAAATAATGTCCATAAAAAGCACAGTCAATTAAATAGTTTTGAGTAGGGATGTAAAGTCCCATTTAATTAGTTAACCAGTTAAATGATTAAATGGAGGCAGGCAGGAGAGCTATTCGAGCTCTGCTAGGTTGGAGCAGCCTGGCTGGCTGCGGACATGGGCTGCTCCAGCCCATGCTGACTAACCATTCATATCCCTAGGTTATATTTTGCTTCCTCTCCACATTTATTTCTAATGAATAAATTCGTAGGTGTTTCATAATAGGCTGTTAAATGAACACTTCAAAAATATGGTATGCTAACCATAAGTCTTTAAAAGGGATGGGGAAGAAGCCAAAGGATAAGACTAGCCTAAAGAGTTGTACTTCTCAAATTGTTACCATGGGCAGGTCTGCACTTACTGGGAGATTGGCAGTGTGGTGACCGATGCCCCAGGGGTCAATTGAGCAGATCTAGTAAAGGCCCATTAAATCAACTGCCAATAAATCTCTTGTGGACTCTGGTATTCCACCAGAATAAGAAACATAAGGGAAGTTGATGGGGGAGTTTTAGTCCTTGACCCATCCTTCCCCCCTTCCCCCCTCATGGTGGAGATCTTGCAGCAACTTTACCTAAGGTATGCTATTCATGTAGCTGGAGTTGTGTACCTTAAAGTCAACATTGCCCTGCAGTGTAAACCTGATCCTAGGAGAGTCTTGACAGGTAGAGCAATGTTCTACTACTTATTTGTGCTTAGAAAAATACAGATTTCCAATTTGTAATTCCTGGTAGCCCTTCTGATTATTTAGCACTTACATAGCTACATCTGAATTAGTAAATACACTTTGGCTTAACATCTCAGGAGAAACTCAGCTAGAGCTTCAGTGCTGCCCTCTCAAGTTCTTGATTTCCACTGATGCTTCAGTTCTTAAGAAATTTTTCTGCACAGGCTGTTTGCAGGAATAACACATGAAGTGAAAGATCAGTGAGGGTCAGATTCTCAGCTGGTTGTAGGTACATTAGCTTCAGCAGAGCTACACCAATTTTCCCCACCTGAAGATCAGATCTCAAGACATTCTCACTAGGAAATCTGAAGCTGAAATTTATATTTAGACGCCTACATGAGTGGTCTGGTTTTTTTCTAAAGGTCTGTGCACCTAGCAGCTCCCCTGCACTAGAAGTTGCTCAGTGCTTCTGAAAAAACAGGCCATCATTTAAGTTCCTAAATAGAATCTCAACCTGAAGGCCATGCACTCAGACGCTCAGCCAGAGAAAATTGGGGTAGCTCTACAGAAGCTTATGGTGCTACCCCAATTAACACCAGCTGAGAACCTACTGTAACTGACAATGACAACAGGGAATTTTCCCTTCATGAGAAAAGACCATCACCAGGTGGCTTATGATAAAGGCCTTATGCAGTTTATTTTAAACAGTACTTCCCACCTTACCCTCCTTGGTTAGTCTTGTAATACCTAAATTTAGGTGCTCTGCCACCCAGGGCACTCCTTAGCTCGGAGTCAGGCTCCCGTACTCTCTGAACCCATGCATGAGGGTTAGATGCCTAAAAAAAGGATTCACAAAAGCCAGCATAAGCTGAGCAAGAAGCCTCCTAAATTAACCAGTAGACTAGGCCTGAGCAAAACACCCTCCGTAGCTGCATCCAGCTATCAAGCCACCGAATCCAGCATGCAGATGCAGCAGTGAGCCTCAGGCAGACTCCCTTGCTTGTTCTGCCCCTGTATGCCGCTCAGAAAAGTGGCTGCTGGGCTGTTTGTTTTTCACAAACTCAGGGCGGGGCAGGAAGGGGAGTAGTGCTTCATGAACTGCTCCTGCCTCTAGCAAAATCCCATTGGCCCGTTTCCAGAATTTTGGTGTGGCCTCCACATCAGAAATAATAAATTCCTACTCCTGCAGTAGACAATGCCAAAGAGGTTTTGCCTAAGCCTCATTCCTCTAAGGGAGTTAGGTGCCTGCTTCCACTTAGGATTCACAACTATGAACCATTTCTTAGGTCCCTAAAATAAGCTGAACCGATTTAAGTAAGACTGTGGAGGAGGATGCTGTTCTTAAACTCTAACAAAATGTGGGAGACATTGGTTCAACATACACTTTGCCTAACTCAGAACTGAGAACACAGGTCTTCTACCTCTCAGCTGAGTAGGCTTTAGGCCAGGGGTGGGAAATAATTTTTGCAGGGGGGGGGGTCACAATGAATTTTGCTTTGTGGTCACAGACTGGCTCCACGCCCCCTCCCCTGAGAAGAGGCAGAGCTGGGAACTAGCCTCCCCCCAGAGCTGTTTGGGGTCAGATATTTTGAATTTTAAAACACAGAAACATGGACTCATGGCTCATGGACTTGCTGCTACTGCATTGCCTGGCAACCAGCCAGGATTACTGCAGCTATTTAAAAGGCTTATGGCTCTAGCCCCTTCAGAATATGTTGGTGATCATGAGCCGTGAGCTATTTAAATAGGATCCTGCTACATGAGCCACTGCATGGAAATACAGTGGCATGGGCAGCAGGATATACACAGAAAATGGCCAGATGCAGTCTGCGGGCCAGACTGAAATGTTAGGCAGGCTGGATCTGGCCCCTGGGCCACATCTTGCCCAGCCCTACTCTAAGCTAATAGGATATTCTGGATGATTTGTGTTAAATATTTAATCATCAGCCTAAGGAGAAAGTGACTCCATAGCCTAGAGGTTAGCATACTATGCTGGAAGACTCCAATGACTAAAGCCAAGTCTGTACTACAGGGGAAAGTCAGCTTCTGGTACTCAATTCCAACTATGTAAACAAAGTATCCCCAGACCCTGTCCCTTTCACACACACCAAGACCTCAGCCAGCTTCTGCACCCTCCCTTCTGCCCACACCTGCCACACTCAGAGGGGCCACCAATCTCCAGCCCTGGGGAAGCTGGTGGTGACAATAGGGGCAGGCACAGGGCGGACGGTTTGCTCCATGTGCTGGAGCTAAGTATTCCACCTCCTTTTTAAAGCTGTGTTTTTCTGGCATGCTTTTAAGTGACCCCGAGAATGCCTACCAAATTGGGACCTTCAGGCAAGACAGATGAGAGAAAGCCTAGTTTGTAAATCCCACTGGAACTTGGGCATGAAGTAGGTGCGGAGCTTCATAACTTGGTCAGCTTTGCATGTGTCCACCCTCAAGAATTTAGGCAGCAGCAGAGCAAAGGATGAGTGTGACGTAGTGGGGGTACCTGGCTGGTTTCTATGCTGCTGGCTCTGGGGTAACCCCCACTGGCTGACGTGGGGACCAGGACCCAGCAAAACAGGATGAGTCACTATGCAAACCAGTATGGCCAGACACCCCCCATGGAGAGGAACAAAGGAAGGTGGAATGCTGCCCTGGCTGGGGGGCAGGGCTGGAAGAGAGTTAGTTAGTTGCTGTCTGTGAGCATGGAGGAGACAGCCTAGGGAGAGGGGCTGGAGTTTAGGGGCCCAGTCTCCCCCCATCTCAAGGGGGCCTGAGGCATCCTAGCCCAGCTCTGTGACCAGATTACATCTGTGCTGTATCCTGGAGAGGCAATAAACTTCCTCTATTCCACCGGCTGGTGCAGTCTGTTTGTGCCAGTTCGGGGTGCAGGAGACGGGGGACCCCCAACGCGCCGTCACAATGAGGATCTAAATTTTGAATGTAGGCAGTTAATACCAAAATCTCTTTGTGGATCTAGCCTAAAACACCTTCCAGTGTCACCACACTTCATCTTAGCTGAGACTAAGGCTACGTCTAGACTACATGCCTCTATCGCCAGAGGCATGTAGATGAGGCTACCAGGCATAGGAAAATGAAGCGGCGATTTAAATAATCGCCGCTTCATTTAAATTTACATGGCTGCCGCGCTGAGCCGATCAGCTGTTTGTCGGCTCAGCGCGATAGTCTGGACGCGTGGGTGTCGACATCAAAGGCATTTGTCGACCACCCAGGTAAACCTCATTCCAGGAGGCATACCTGGGTGGTCGACCGATGCCTTTAATGTCGACACCCGCGCGTCCAGACTACTGCGCTGAGCCGATCAGCTGTTTGTCGGCTCAGCGCGATAGTCTGGACGCGTGGGTGTCGACATCAAAGGCATTTGTCGACCACCCAGGTAAACCTCATTCCAGGAGGCATACCTGGGTGGTCGACAAATGCCTTTGATGTGGACACCCGCGCCTCCAGACTACCGCACTGAGCCGACAAACAGCTGATCGGCTCAGCGCGGCAGCCATGTAAATTTAAATGAAGCGGCGATTATTTAAATCACCGCTTCATTTTCCTATGCCTGGTAGCCTCATCTACATGCCTCTGGCGACAGAGGCAGGTAGTCTAGACGTAGCCTAAGGTAATGTAAAAAAAAAATCAATGTAAGTTTGTTTTGTTCAGTTTACATCTGAAAATTGATATTCAGGGTTTAAGTTGGCTGCATGCTATTATGATCATTTGAAATGGTAACTGAGTTTAGTCACATTTTGACCTAAAAGTTTTATGCCTAATGTAACAGGTCACTGACTGTCACTGAAATATGAAAATCCTTCCTCTGCCCCAATACATTATAAATAAAATTTTATCTATGGTTAGTTGCACTTTCTATCTCATGTGCTGTTTTGAAGGAAGATCCCTGGCATGTTCTCCCCAACATTTTAACAAGATATTCACTTCTAACAGGTAAATTGAAACAGGAGAAGCTGACAAGCTTATGTGCAGAGAAGGGGAGGAGTGGGCTCTTAAACATAAATTGAGTTTCATCCAGATAACCTCTCTTAGCAGTAGCAGGGAGCAGATAAACTTTACAAGTTAGGGACATACATAAGTTTGTCAAAACATTGTTAGAAATTAATTTAAACCAAACTGTGTCCCTGTAAGGTCAGATAATGTATTGAAAAGTTTCATTACACATGGAAGTACATTATTCAAGGGCTACTACAAATTGCTATACATAAAGAACTTCTCAACATTTTATAATAGATGATACCATATCAAAGTAAGATCCATCAATCTTGTGGATTACTTGCCAAATTTATTTGGCCTTATTGGTATCTACATCCAAAGTGTTTTTAAAAGCTAGCCTCAAAA